TGGTAGGCGGAGGTTGCAGTGAGCTGAGACCTTACTACTGCACTTCAGCCTGGACAAGAGAGCTAAACTCCGTCTCAAAAAAAGAAAAAAAGAAAAAGACAAAAGCCTTGGTAGGGAAGGAAGGAGGGGTGGTTCATAGAAGACATCTTGAAGGAGGTTAAGTCTGGCCTCACTTAGAATGATGAGTCATGTTTTCATGGGGGACAGGGCATACATCAACCACAGGCTTAGGATTGTGAAAGAGCTCTTTGGAATGGCCAGGATTTTGCTGCTAGCAGGGTCCAATGTGGGGAGTTGGTGTAAGGGAGCAAGGAGAAGGATAAGGTGGGGGGAAGGTGGATGGATTCGAGGCGTGGGTGCAGAAAAAGGCTGGAGAGGTGGGTGTCCTCAAACAGCAGCTGCCTTTCTTCTCTCCCCTTATGCATCTGCCAGGCCTGGGGTGGTGTGTGGGGAGTTTCCTCCCTGTTCCTCATTGCTGCTTCCAGATCACTACCCACTCCTTCAAAGTACATGGCAGGTACTGTACCCATTGCCAGCCCTCCCTGAGGCAGCCACTTCCCAGGGCAAGTCTCCCCAGTTCCCTTGGAGCTTCCAGCAGTATGCTGGCTGCCGCAGGCAGCTGGGATTACAGGCATGCGCCACCATGCCTGGCTAATTTTTAAATTTCTTATAGAGATGGGGTTTCACTGTGTTGCCTAGGCTGGTCTCAAATTCATGAGCTCAAGCGATCTGCCTGCCTCAGTGTCCCAAAGTGCTAGGATTACAAGTGTAAGCCACTGCACCTAGCCTGTTTCACTTCTAATCACTAAATCTGTGCCTTTGTTCAGCACCCATATTCTCTGCCATCCCTCTGTATGGTGTTCCTGCTTCTCCCTTAAACTCCAGGCTCATATATCTGTAAGAATTAAAGAAAGAGGAGAGAAACAGGAAGGGTGGTTTGACAGTCAACAGGTTTATTTCTTGGGTAACTGCCAAACTTCACCCTCAAACAATGGGCCTCAGTAAAACAGTGGGCCTTAGTAAGAACATTCCTTTCCCTTCAGGTGCACTAAGATAGGGTAGCTAAAAGCAGACGGGGAGTATGCCTGCAGCTGCAGAAAGATGTATGGGAACAGACACACACCTCTCCCTCCCAGATAAGCACAACAAAGAGACACAGAAGCAGTCCAAGCCTCTGATAAACTCTCCCACCCTAAATTCTTAAAACCCTTTTTTTTTTAAAGACAGAATTTCACTTTTGTTGCCCAGGCTGGAGTGCAATGGCATGATCTTGGCCCACTGCAACCTCTGCCTCCCAGATTCAAGCAGGTCTCCTGCCTCAGCCTCCCGAGTAGCTGGGATTACAGACATGCACCACCAAGCCTGGCTAATTTTGTATTTTTAGTAGAGATGGGATTCTTCATGTTGGTTAGGCTGGTCTTGAACTCCCAACCTCAGGTGATCCACTCACCTCGGCTTCCCAAAGTGTTGGGATTACAGGCGTGAGCCACCATGCCCAGCCAATCTTTAAAAACTCTTAGTCTGTAAGAGAATACAGCTTCTTTTTTTTTTTTTTCACCCATACATAGGTTTTTCTTTGAGACGGAGTTTCGCTCTTGTTACCCAGGCTGGAGTGCAATGGCGCGATCTCGGCTCATCGCAACCTCCACCTACCGGGTTCAGGCAATTCTCCTGCCTCAGCTTCCCGAGTAGCCGGGACTACAGGCACGCGCCACCATGCCCAGCTAATTTTTTGTATTATTAGTAGAGACGGGGTTTCACCATGTTGACCAGGATGGTCTCGATCTCTTGACCTCGTGATCCACCCGCCTCGGCCTCCCACAGTGCTGGGATTACAGGCTTGAGCCTTTGCGCCCGGCCCGAGAATACAGCTTCTGACCTAACTTGGTTGGAAGTCCCTCGCAGATGTGAAATAAACCTGTTGACTGTTGAGCCATCCTTCGTGTTTCTCTCCTCTTTCTTTAATTCTTACAATATCCACTGACCATTTCAGAACCTCCACGGGAGTGTCTAACAGGCAGCTCAGACTTACAGCTAAAACACAGCTCTTGGTTTGACCTCAAAACAGTCCCTCAGATTTTCATTGACTCAGCAAATGGCATATTATTCAAACAGCTGCTCAGACCCCAGGGTTCTTCCTTCCCTTCTTCCCCTCATGTCCCACAGCCAACCTGTCTGCCGATTGTGCCTCTTCTGCCTTTTCCATCTGGACTCACAACACTCATGGCCCCTCTCGCTTATCCAAATGCGGCTCCTGGCTGACATGGCCTGAGCAATACTCATCTCCCTCTTCCCACTCCCTGCCAGTTTTCTCTGTAGAGCAGGCTACATGCTTGTTAAAAAATGGACATCAGGCTGGGCACGGTGGCTCATGCCTGTAATCCCAGCACTCTGGGAGGCCAAGGTGGGCGGATCATGAGATTAAGAGGTCAAGACTATCCTGGCCCACGTGGTGAACTTCTGTCTCTGCTAAAAATACAAAAATTAGCTGAGCATGGTCATGCATGCCTGTAGTCTCAGCTACTCAGGATGTTGAGGCAGGAGAATTGCTTGAACCAGGGAGGTGGAGGTTGCAGTAAGTCAAGATCACGTCACTGCACTCTAGTCTGGGCAACAGAGCAACTCCCATCTCAAAAAAAAAAAAAATTGGACATAAGTGGCTGGGCAGACATCAGTGGCTCACTCCTGTCATCCTAGCACTTTTTTTTTTTGGGAGGCAGAGGAGCGGGGATTGAGCCCAGGAGCTCAAGACCAGCCTGGGCAATGGTGAAACCCTGTCTCTAAATAAAACAAAAAAACCCACCAAAAAACAAACAAATGAAAAAACCACAAAACAAATTAGTGGGGCATAATGGCACACTTCTGTAGGCCCAGCTACTCAGGAGGCTGAGGTGGGAGGGTTGCTTGAGCCCAGGAGTTTAAGGCTGCAGTGAGCTATGATCATGCCACTGCACTCTAACCTGGGCAACAGAGGATGACACTGTCTCATGAAAAAAAAAAAAAAAAAAAGGGATATCAGGTGGTATCAGTCCCCTCCTCCATATGCTCCCTGAGCCTCCTGTACTCAGCCTAATGTTCAAGCCACTTACCAACTGTGCAAGGCCCACCTGACCTGGCCTCGGCCCCCTGTTGCCTGCCACTCTCTGCCTCACTCACCTCTAGCTACATCCCAATACCCCACTGCCGCAGAGCTCTTCGGCCTGAGGCCTGTGCATCAGCAAAGCCCTGTTCCCCAGGTCCAAGTGCTTAATCTTTGCTGAAATGTCACATTCCCACTGAGGCCGTCAACCACTCTATCTAAAATAACCCCATGCCCGTCTCCTCCAGGTTATGTCCCTTTCCATTTGCTGTTTTCTTTCTGTCTGGACTTAGTTAACTCCATCAGTGTTTTTGAGCACATGCTGTGTGCCAGGCACTGGTCTAGGCACTGGGGATGCCAGGGGAACACCTGTCAGGTAGTGGTTGGTGCTGTTGAGAAAAATCAAACAGCACAAAGCGCTGAGAAGTGATGGCCTCTTAAAAGGGTGGTCAGGGCAAAAAGCTCTGAGGAGGTGATGGTTAAGCAGAGACCTGAATGAGATGTGAGTATCTGAAGGCAGGGCAGTGAGCCAGAGCTCACAAGGGCAGGCATATGCTTTGGGTGTTCAGTGGGTGTCCTCAGGAGCCACATAGTGGCCAGTGTGGCTCACATTTACAGAACAAATGGGAGTGTGTCAGAGCCAAGTTGCCTAGGGCTTTGGGAGTTGGGCCGAAGGAATCTGGCCTTCATCTGGAGGGTGGTGGGGGAGGAACCACAGGAGGGTCCCAAGCAGGCGGGCAGTGCTCACTCGTTAAAAGTGTAGAAATTGGGTTGAAGCGGAGAGAGAGGGGATGGGGAGGCAATGGCAGAAAAATGTCAGGTTATAGACTCAGAAGAGATCCGACTGAGTGTGGTGGCTCATGCCTATAATCCCAGCACTTTGGGAGGCCAGGGTGGGAGGATTGCATTACTTGGGAGTTTGGGTAATTTAGTAAGATCTTGTCTCTACTAAAAAAAAAAAAAAAAAAAAAAAAAAATTACCTGGGCATGATGGTGTGCACCTGTAGTCCTAGCTACTGGGGAAGCTGAGGAGGGAGGATTGCGTGAACCCAGGAGTTCCAGCCTGCAGTGAGCTATGACCCCACCATTGCACTCTAGCCTGGGCAACAGAGTGAGATCCTGTCTCAGAAAAAAATTAGAAGAGTTCTGATACATTCTGAATTTTATAGATGAAAAAAGGCTCTGCATTTCAGTGATTTGCCCCAGATCAGGCGCCAGAGAATGGCATGGTTAGTATTAAAGCCCAGACTTTCTAACTCCTCTGGGGTTACTGGCAACTGGTTTGGGCTAAGAGCTTGGGGGTGTGGGTCACAGGGAATGGCTGCTTTGGGTAGACCTTGGGGGAGGGCTGGCAGAAAGAGTAGGAAGAGTTTCTTTTGACTTTAGCTATTGTATTTCCTAGCGCTGCTGAACAAATGACCATAAACTTAGTGGTGGAAAGCAACACAGATTTACTGTCTTATGGTTCTGGAGATCAGAAGTCCGAAATGGGTCCACTGAGCTAAAATCAAGGCGTCGGCAGGGCTTCATCGTTTCTGGATGCTCTGGGAGGATCTGTTCCTTGCTTTATGCAGCTTCTAGAGGCTACCTACCCTCCTTGGCTTATGGCACTTCCCCACCTTTATTTATTTATTTATTTATGAGATAGAGTCTCACTTTGTCGCCCAGGCTGGAGTGCAGTGGTGTGAACTTGGCTCACTGCAACGTCTGCCTCCCAGGTTCAAGCAGTTCTCTGCCTAAGCCTCCTGAGTAGCTGGGATTACAGGTGCCCACCACCACGCCCTGCTAACTTTTTTGTGTGTGTTTTTAGTAGAAACGGGGTTTCACCATCTTGGCCAGGCTGATCTTGAACTCCTGACCTTGTGATCCACCTACCTCGGCCTCCCAAAGTGCTGGGATTACAGGTGTGAGCCACTGCACCCAGCCACTTTCCCCCCTTTAAAGCCTGCAATGGCAGTTGAGTCTTTCTCATACCTCATTATGTTGACACTGACCCTCTTGTTCCCATCTGTCACCCTCTGCCTCCCCCCACCCCCGCGGTGACTTCCTGGATAATCCATGGATCATCTCCCCATTTAAAGGTCAGCTGATAAGCAACCTTAATTCCATCTGTGCCTTAATTCTGCCTTGCCATGTAGCCTCACGTATTCACAGGTTCTGGGGATTAGTGCGTGGATGTCTTTGGGGGCCATTATTCTGCTCACCGCAACCACCTTTTTGTGATTTCACAGGTGGTTGAAATGAAAGTTCTTGTCTTGTATTTTTGCCTTCTAGAGATTTTTGCTGAATTAATTACCAGTAACAGTTCAATATGGGGGACGTTCTGGCTCATGAATCCGAATTACTTGGACTAGTGAAAGAGGTAGGTATATTATACAAAACAGAGGTCACAGAGAAACAGATCTTGAAAACTTGTGTTTTAAAATACAACAAACTATTTAGTGCCTTGTAGTGTTTCTTCTGTTTATTGGAGCTGTTTATCTATTTTCTATTATATAATATTCCATGTATTTACATTTGTTTTATAAACAAATCTTAATGCCACTTAAAAAGTCCCTTTAAAGAAAGTTATAAAAACAGTACATGCCCATGGTAAAAGATTTAAGCACTACGGAAGTATAAAAAGGAAATTTCCTTCTCAGACTTTTTTCTATGAATAGTAAAAATATATTCACATGTCTGTAGTTTGTTTTACTAAATGGGATGATACATTGCTCTGTGGCTTGCCTTTTATCTGCCAGCAATAATATAGTGTGAACATCGGCCTGTGATCTGCCCTAGATATTTGAATACAGTAGAGTATTTCAGTGAGTGGCTGCATCATTTTAGCTCATTGTCTGGTAATGGCCTAGGTTTCCTACACTAAAAGCTTTGACAAGCAGGGCCCAGGCCGTAAGCTTTCTAGTGCTGCTAGAAATGGTTGCTGCTTGCTGCTGCTTAACTGTGTAACCATCTGCAGGCTTTGAGAGCCATGGGCCTGGAGCAAGGATGAGGCACCCATCATGAAAGTGCAGATTTGGAATTTGGTGGTGTGATGGCGAATACATTATTTTTTTAAAAAATGTAAATTAAAAAAAATTTTTAGGTTGGGCCCAGTAGCTCATGCCTGTAATCCCAGCACTTTGGGAAGCCAAGGCAGGCAGATCACCAGGTCAGGAGATCAAGACCATCCTAGCAAACATTGCAAAACCCCATTTTTTCTAAAAAAAAAAAAAAAAAAAAAAAAAAAAGCCAGGCCTGGTGGCACGTGCTTGTAGTCCCAGCTACTTGGGAGGCTGAGACACGAGAATCACTTGAATCTGGGAGGCGGAGGTTGCAGTGAGCCGAGATCTCACCACTGCACTTTAGCCTGGCAGTAGAGCAAGACTCCGTCTAAAAGAAAAAATAAATTTTTTAGAGACAAGGTCTTGTTCTGTCATTTAGGCTGGAGTGCAGTAGTGTGATCATGGTTCACTGGAGCCCTGAACTCCTGGGCTCAAGCAAGCTGCCTGCCTCAGCCTCCCTGGTAGCAGAGACTACAGGCTCAGCTAAGTTTTATTTTATTTTTTGTAGAGATAGGATCTTACTCTGTTGTCTAGGCTGGTCTTGAGCTCTTGGCTTCAAGCGGTCCTCCTGCCTCAGCCTCCCAAAGTTCTGGATTGTAGGCATGAGCCACTGCACCCTACTTATATGCCACATTTTCCTTTAAAAAATTTATTTATAGCCGGGCACGGTGGCTCACACCTGTAATCCCAGCCCTTTGGGAGGCTGAGGCGGGTGGATCACGAGGTCAAGAGATCGAGACCATCCTGGTCAACATGGTGAAACCCCGTCTCTACTAAAAATACAAAAAATTAGCCAGGCATGGTGGCGCGTGCCTGTAATCCCAGCTACTCAGGAGGCTGAGGCAGGAGAATTGCCTGAACCCAGGAGGCGGAGGCTGCGGTGAGCCGAGATTGCGCCATTGCACTCCAGCCTGGGTAACGAGCGAAACTCCATCTCAAAAAAAATAAAAAATAAAAAAAATAAAAATTAAAAATTTATTTATTTATTTGAGATGGGGTCTCGCTTTGTTGCCCAGGCTGGTTTTGAAGTCCTGGGCTCAAGTGATCTTCCTACCTCAGCCTCCCTAAGTGTTGGGATTACAGGCATGAGCCATGCCACCTGGCCTATACCCCTTTTTGTTTATCCGTTCATCTATTGGTAGACACTTAGATTGTTTCCATGTCTTGACTATTATGAATAATGCTGCAGTGAGCATGGAGATGCAGATATCTCTTTGAAATACTGATTTTATTTCCTTTCTACATATACCCAGAAAAAAGATTGCTGAGTCATATGGTAGTTCTATTTTTATTGTTTTGAGGAACTTCCATACAGTTTTCTAAAATGGCTGTACCAATTTATAATCTCACCAACAGTGCACAAGTGTTTCCTTTTGTCCACATCCTTGCCGGCACTTTTTACTTGTGTCTTTTTTGTAATAGTCATTTTGACAGGTGTGCGATAATGATGTCTCTGTGGCTTTGATTTGCATTTCCCTGGTTGTCAGTGATGTTAAGCATCTTTTCTTAGATCTGTTGTCTTTTTAATGTCTTCTTTGCAGAAAATCTGTTCAGATCCTTTGCCTGTTTTTTGAGATGGAGTCTCGCACTGTCACCCAGGTTGTAGTGCAGTGGCGCGATCTCGGCTCACTGCAATCTCAACCTCCTGGGTTCAAGCAATTCTCCTGCCTCAGCCTCCTGAGTAGCTGTGACTACAGGTGTGTGCCGCCACACCCAGCTAATTTTTTTGTATTTTAGTAGAGAGCGGTTTCACCACATTGGCCCGGATGGCCTTGATCTCCTGACCTTGTGATCCGCCCGCCTTGGCCATCCAAAGTGCTGGGATTACATGCCTGTTTTTTAATTGGATTATTTGTTGGTTTGTTTGCTGTTGAATTGAATTATTTATTTTTTTATAGTATTTAGATTTTGCTGAATTTGAAGACACCCTGAAAACATTTTCAAAAGAATGCAAAATAAAAGGAAAACCATTATGTAAAACAGTAGGCGGATCTTTCAGAGACTCCAAATCATTGACAATTCAGGTAACATTTTGCTTATTTTTCATCCCCGTAGATAATTCAAGATGCTCCCAACTTGTGGAAAATGCTGCCATTGGAGAGTGCTGGAATAGCTTTTGAGCACCTGCTCAGAGTTACCTTAGACTGCACAAGTGTTTATAGATGAACTAACAATGTCATTTGAAATCTCTGTACCCTCCCAAGGAAATGTGTGGTCATATAATTTCTGTTCTTTTGGATCTTTCACATACATTTCTTGGGAATAAGGAAAAGAAGAAACCATGCGATGTTTAGGAACTGAGACAATTGTAGCCTCCCTGTGAGGAGTTTCAGGTTGTTAATTCCAGGCACTGGGAATCCAGCAGTGAACAAACAAAATCCAACCCCTGCCTGCAGAGCATTTGGGGGCGGGTGAAGAGAGCAGGGAGCAAGAGTGAGACTGACAAGGCAGGTCCTGTGGAAGCAAGTCTGAGCAGCTCTGTGAATCCCAGTGGGTTGCAAGGGCACAGAGGTTATACAGACCTCTTAGGGTTAGATAAAAGTCCTTGGCTGGGCACGGTTGCTGACTCCTATAATACCAGCACTTTGGGAGGCCGAGGCAGGAAGAGCGCATAAGCCCAGGAGTTCAAGACCAGCCTGTGCGATATAGTGGGACCTCGTTTTTTTTTGTTTTTTATGGAGTCTCACTCTGTCACCCAGGATGGAGTGCAGTGGCGTGATTTCGGCCATCCGCAATCTCCACCTCCTGGGTTCAAGTGATGCTCCTGCCTCAGCCTCCCAAGTAGCTGGGATTACAGGCAGAAGTCACTGCACCCGGCTAATTTTTGTATTTTTAGTAGAGACTGCATTTCACAATGTTGGCCAGGCTTGTCTCGAACTCCTGACCTCAAGTGATCCACCTGCCTTGGCCTCCCAAAGTGCTGAGATTACAGGCGTGAGCCACTGTGCCCAGCCGAGACCTTGTTTCTATAAAAAATAAAAAATTGGCCAAGCATGGTGGCAGGCACCTGTAGTCCCAGCTACTCAGGTGACTGAGTTAGGGGAATCACTGGAGCCCAGGAAATCAAGGCTGTGTTGAACATGATCATACTGCTGCACTCCAGCTGTAGAGACAGGGTGAGACCCTGTCTCCAAAAAAATGAAAAAGTCATTTAACCATTATTTGATGTCTCAATCTCATTTGTAATATGCCAGGAAAATAATCGGTTCACTTAGAATATTTCCAGTGAGTCAGACTACCATTTTCTGAGACAGCATGTTCCACCTTTGGATGATTTTATTATTATTTATTATTTAATTTTTTTTTTTTTTTTTTTTTTTTGAGACGGAGTTTCGCTCTTGTTACCCAGGCTGGAGTGCAATGG